AATTCTAGACTCACCTGTCTGTCCAATTGTAGTGCCTGTCCAAGATCTTTGTACTGATGGACTAATCCGTGTGTGTGTGTGTGTGTGTGTGTGTGTGTGTGTGTGTGTGTGTGTGCGCAGATCTGTATTCTCCATCCACTGGGCTTTTACTCCATGGATTTTTAGTCCCATGTCTAAAGTATGAAACCACTGGAGGATGAGAATACATTTCTAAAACTGAAATCATTCCTTAATATGTATGCAAAACTTCTAGAATCCCCTGAGTAAATAAATCTGTTTCAAGAGCAAGCTTTGAAGTTTGAAAATAAAAGCAAGAAAAGCTGTTGATCAATGCAAAAAGGAATCTTTGAAGTGGCTGGACAGCTCCTCAGCGTTTCATAGTGAATGGTAGCAGGGAATGAGAACTTACCGCTTACCACAGCCCCACTGAACAGGAGGGTGAGACATGAGCACACTTCCTACAAAGCCCACTGTGCCTTCTCAGAGTCTCTCTCCAAGACTTTCTCCCTTTCTACTTGAGTCTATGCCTGTGCATTTTCCTGTGCAGTATGTGTGTTCTCTCAGTTGTGTGTCACTGGATTTATCTCCCTCTCTCTTTATCCATATGTGAATATGCATGTATGTATATGTATGCATGAAGGCTCAGTGGATAGCATGACTGCCCTGGAGTCAGGAGGACCTGAGTTCAAATATGACCTCAGACACTTACTATCTGTGTGGCCCTGGGCAAGTCACTTAACCCTGTTTGCCTCAGTTTTCTCATCTATAAAATGAGCTGGAGAAGGAAATGGCAAACAACTCCAGTATCTTTGCCCAGAAAATTCAAAACAGGGTCACGAAGAGTCAGACATAAAATGTCTAATCAACTGACCAAAATATGTATGCATAAATGCATACACACACAACTCTTCCTTTTCATCTCTCATTCTTCCTCTTTCTTTCTTAACTGTAGACTTGAATATGTAGACTTGAAATACATTTTATAGTCAGTCAATAAACATTATAATTGACGTATTTATTGAATGGAGTTGTTTTCTCTGTTCTTACTTTAAACCATGTTCTTACTTTAAATCATGACTAAAGTATTTAATATTTCTCCTCCCTCCCTCACTGTACTCCATATGTACGTGCATATACACACACATACACACACAATCCCGTCTCCTTCCTTTTTATCACTCATTCTCCCTCTCTGCTTCTCTTAGTCATAGATTGAAGTGTATTTATTGAATGAAGTTGCTTTTTCTCTGCTTTTAGCTTAAAAGATGAAAAAAATATTTTACATATCTCTTTGAAAAACAAAAGCAAAAACACCATATCTTTCACATATGTACCTTCCAATTGATTCTCTGAGCTCCATCCCTCCAGCTGAAGTCAATGACTTGCAATAGAAAAAAAGGTTCTCTACCCCTTCTCTAAAGAGAAAACTGTCTTAATAGATGATCTGCACAAAGCCAGGTAAATATTTTTAAATGATGTTATCTCTAATTCCATCCACCTCAGGGTTGTCGCTGCTCTAAGAAGGGAATACCTCATAAGCTTGGCATCTTTATAAAGAGAATATGTGGAAACCCCAAAATAAGGTATTCTTTGGAGAGTATCAAATAGGAAGGATCCATAACCAAATGAAGAAGAAAGTACTTAAAGAGATGGTAGGCTGAGCAAAGTCTAGCTCCCACCTAGTTATCTGCATGGACATAAGAAGCTCTGCCGACCTCAGAAAGAGGTCTCTTTGACATTGAGCGTCACTGCCCTCTCAATGCACGTCGCTGCTCTTCTCAATGAAGTCCAAGGGCTCCCTTTTGCTGGTAGGATCAAATATAAACTCCTCTGTTAGGCTTTTAAAGTTGTTCACTATCTGGCCCAAAATTATCTTTTCTATTTTCATTACTACATTGCCCCTCCCCACGCTCTCCACCCCAGCCAAGTCAGCCTTCTTTCTGTTCCTCACACAAGGCATTCCATCGCTGACCTTGTTGCTGACCTTGTTGTCTCATTCAATAGAATGTAAGCTACTTGAAGACAAGAATTGTTCCATTTTTGTCTTTGTATCTCCAGAACTTCCCATAGTGCCTGGAACATAATTGGGAAATGAGAAAAGGGAATACACATTTATTAAGCACTGTGCTAAGAGCTTTTTTTGAATAGTATCTCATTTGATCCTCACAATAACCCTGCAAGATTGATTATTATCCCCATTTCTGTAGTTGAGGAAACTGAGGAAAACAGAGGTTAAGTGACTTGCCTGGCATCACACAACTAGTAAGCGCCTGAGGCTGGATTTGAAGCCAGGTTTTCCTGACACCAAGCCCAGTGCTTTATCCTTTGTTCAACCAGATGTCTCATAGGCACTTAGTGGTTGTTGACTGACTACATGATTGAATATCCTTATGAGGTAAATAGGGGCAGTATTATTATTCCCATTTTATAGATAAGGCAAATGAAGTCCACAGAGATAATGTTACTTCCTAAGAGATACACACAACTAGTTATCAGGATTAAAATGTGAGGTTTGCTGACTCTTAAAGAAAGGCTCTTTCCATATCATGCTTCCTTAGTCCTGTGACTTCTAATAGAACAGGTTTACCTGAGAGAAGGTAGGCTAAATGCATGGCATGGTAGAATAGAAAAAGATTGCAGTCTGGGGTAGGGGAGTGGGGGAGTTCTGATTTTAGGAGATGCACAATTTATTAGAGCGTAGTGAGCTCCAGACCTTGTTTGGAGTGCTTGTTTTTCCCATGCTTTTCCACATCTGTTTGAAGCTAATCGTTAGAATAACATTTGTAGCCTGGGAATGAATATAAGTAAATTTACTATAGCAACCTGACTTAAGTCACAAATGGCTAGCACCTGGGAGACAGCTAGGCTAGAACACAGTGGCTAGAACCTTGCACCTGGAATCTAGAAAATCTGAGTTCAAAGCTAGCCTCAGCCCTTTATTAGATGTGTGATGCTAGGGAAGTCATTGAATCCATTTGCCTCAGTTTCCCTATCTTTAAAATGAAGATAACAATACCTTTCAGGGTTGTTGTGAGGCCTCTGAGATCCCCTCCAGTTCTAGACCTATGGTTTTATGGACATTCTAGACCATTTTCGAAACAAAAAGAAGTGACAGTGCAGAGGTTGGGACTAAATTTGGAAATAGGAAATAGCTCTGTAAACTAAGTAAACACAGGCAAGGGGGTTAGCTATCATGTCTTTCACAAAGTAGGTGATTAATCAATGTTTGCTGAACTCTTCATTGAATTCCCAGCCCCTTTGTACACAATCCCAGCTACCATAAAACCCCAGGAATTCACCAATATCACCTATACCCTTTGAATGGAAGGGAAATTTTGGTGTAATTGGATTTCTAGCTTGGGTTTGTCAGAAAGCCTTGGATTTTTTTTCCTGACTTTGCCACTAGCTCAGTAAGGAAGTTGGAATAAAGCACTTTCCCTTTAACACCTTGGTTTCTCCTCACATGGAAAATAATGCTTTTTGGTAGTGAGACAAAGGGAAATTGTGAGCAAAAAGGATGGAACTTCTAGAAAGAGCATGTGGAAACACTAGTGCCCTTGGTGCCCAGTGTTATGACGTGGATATCTGGGGCCATTTGACCTAGGTCTTGCCAATGGCTGTGGAGGAGACAGCGAGGCTGATGACCACACAGCTCTGCCTCACTTAAATCCAACTCATTTGCAAGTCAAGGCATCACTCTCCTGATATCATTGGTTCTTTTTGAGAACAAAGGACAAACAACAACAACAATTTGGGACAAAAGATGATGAATGCAAGGGGTAGACAGTACCTACTCCTGGTTTAAGCAAACTGATATGGAATGAATGAGAGAAGTAAAACGTGCAAGGAGAGCAGAGGGTGCAGTGAAGGGAAGATGAGAAGGCAATGGAGCATCTGGGCTGAGTTGTTGTTGTTGTTGCTTGTCCTGTTTTTTTTTTGAAGAGAGCCAGTAGACTGGGCTGCCTTAGGAAAGAGTGGCTTTCCTTAATGCTGAGTGGACTTTAGGCAAAAGCTGAATGACCACTTGGGATATTGTTGACAGGATTCTTGTTCAGGTATCAGAGGGGCTGTATAACCTAGGACCATAGGTCTAGAGTTGGAAAGGACCATAGAGGACATCTAGTCCAGTCCATTCATTTTAGAGATGAGGCCTAAAAAGGTTAACTGAAGGTTATAAAAAGGTTGCTGAAGGTCATACAAGTAGTAAGTGGCAGGGGTAGGATTTGAACCCAGAGCCTCTGCCTCCACAGCCATGTTCTTTCTACTCCCTCAGATTCTATGTATCAGTGGTCTAAGTCATGAGTTCTTAACGCAGGGTCTGTGACCTTGCCTTTTAGAAAACTGTATTTCAGTATATGTTTCCTTTCTAATTCTATATTTTATCTTTGGAATTTAAAAACATTCTGAGAAGGGGTCCATGGGCTCCACCAGACTGCCAAAGGCACCCATAACACAAAAAAGGTTAAGAACCTCTAATCTAGTCCCTGGTTGGGCCCTGACAGAAAATTTGTTTGGAGCTGAAGAGGAGATGGGACTTAGAGCTATGTACCTTGCTTGACCCCCACACCCACAAGTGTGGAAAACCTTGGAAAGCGGGGACATGGCAGAAGTCTGGTGGCAACATTAGACTGGAGACCTCCCATTTCAGGCTCTGAGAGCTCCCCATAGATATGGGTCTCTTGGTTGCGGCCCCCCTGACCTAGAGCGTCAGCACCTACACTGAGGGCAGTGTCCCAGACCATGGAGAACCTGGCAACAGGCTGCTCACAGAGGGTTGAGCAGGTGCCCTGTGATCAAGGTGCCTTTTTGACCTCTTCCCATCTAAGATTCCATGGTCAAGCAGGGAGTGCTTTACCTTACTAGTGCTGAACCAGAGTTGGATTTCCAAGTTGCTATATGGGAAGAGAAAAGAATGGAGAGGGAGGGGAAGGAAAGAAGAAAGGAAAAGAGGGAGAAAATAAAAGAAACAAAGCAGGAAGGAAGATAAGCAGCAGCCTCAGTAATGATACTCATTCCTTTATTGTTGATTTTGTTCATCTGAATAGGGCTAGGGCTGATGGCTTGCTGGCAGCACCAAATGGTAGGTGCACAACAGCTCAACAGAGAGGCCTCCATCCTAAGCCGGGGAGACAGAGGATAATGTTTATATATATATATATTTATAATACGTCCTGTATATTCATATGGATAGAGTGACAAGAGGGCCATCATATGTTCAACGGTGGAGTTCTAAATAAATACCATAGCAACAGGCATAGAAATTTGGTCCTAATCAAGGCCTGTACTTTGTTAATCCAATGTCTGATCCATTAGAAGGAAAAGAGACTGAAACCTTGCCACCCCCATCAGCCCTGTCCCCAGGATATTTTACACTGAGTGTGAAGAGTCCCCATAGTGAGGTAAACACATACATCCACACACACGCACACACACATAGGTGACAGGCAGATGGGAAGCTCCTCTCATGACCTCAGGTCCAGAACCTCAGACCTGGGGGGTGGGGAAGTCAGGGATTGTGCTATAAGACTGAGTGACCAAATGACCAGATAGTGAATAATTGAAGGCAATTGAAGAAATAGGGTCCCCAGCCTTGAGCAAATGTGAAAAGATGACAATAGCTCTGTTTCCTCCACCTTCAAAGGCTGGAGGAAGAGAGAGAAGGCTTTCCCAACTTTTATCCCCAGACTGGGAGGTGTAGTCAGGAAGATAAGCCCTTATCTCCCATGACACCTGGGAAGCTTCCGGCCAGCTGCCATCTCAGCCCAGGTCAAACCTTCCTGCTTAGTTTTCTGATTCAAGTCCTTTCCTGCTCCGATATGTAACTGTTTCCCTTGAAGAAGAGGGGCTTGTGACCAGAAACAAGCTAGCTAGAAGGTCCATAAGGGCTGAGTCCCTTAAGGAAGCTTGAAGGGAAAACACCTCAGAGCCAAAGAAGAGAGGCAAAGTTCAGAGCTAAAAGAAGAACAGGACCTGTGGATGGGTACTATTTCTCTGGGGGCGGGGGAAGAAGGCTATGTGAGGGAACAGTGTCACCCCTGAACATACCAAGGGCTATATAGTATGGTGGGCCTCAGGTTTCCTCCAATAAATGGGGATCCCCATTCTGTTGGTGGAGTGACCAAGAGAATCTGAAAGCTTTTATGAAAAGAAGTCACATGAAATTAGATGAGGATAAGAATGGAGGCAGATATAAGGAAATCCCTAAACTAGTGATTCCCAACCTTTTGGAAGTCATGACACTCTAAACATTTATTTGAGTTCATGATATCTGCCCCTTCTCCTCAAGTGTGTATTTTAAAAAAAATAAATTCAATTAAAATTAAAAGGTTTTTTTTTGTTTTTTAGAATTCTGTACATCTTCTGAAATGAGACACCATCGACCAGTATAACAAGGTTTGGGAATTACTATTCTAGGGGCTGATTCACATAATAGCTGCAAAGGGATTGGTTCATTTTCAAAAAGGCAACATCCCCAGGAACTTGGATTCAGAAGCAGTAAGTAGTATTAAGTGACGCTATTAAGAGTGCCTGGGTCCTCTATACCTGTGCTGAAACACGGAGGGAAGCACCAGGTATGAAGAGCTGATTTTTTTTTTTCAAAGTCAGGTTGGTGCAGATTCCTCCTGCAGCTTAGAGCTTGGGTCCCCTCAGTGGCTGTGGCAAGACACCGCCTCTTAGACATGGAGAACCAAGTGCTGTCCCCTCCCGGCAAACATCTTCAACTTGAGCTTGTAAATGGCAGCAACTGCCTTCCCCAGCCCTGGCCCTAGAATCCAAGTGAAGGGTTGAGAGAGAAGGAAGGAAACAGTTTGTAGAGAGCCAGGGCTCCGCATCAAAACCGAAGGTTGTGACCTGATGCAATGAGGTTATTTGAGTCCTTGGAAGTGTCCTAGAGAAAAGCTGAGAGGGGCTGCCTGGGCCCCAGAGAATTCGAGCTTCAGCCTTTGCAGCTCAGCAGCACCTCAGGGCTCCCTGGTTAGGCCTTCTGGAACCACCATTACTGGGAAGCAACTTTTCCTGGACAGCCAACAGTCTTCCACCATCAGAAGTTGCCTGGTGGTGTCTCTAAGTGCCACATGGGATGAGAAGGAGATGGAGATCATAGCATGGGATGCGTAGTGAAGAACACTTTTTCTCAGGCACCAGCCACTGTCCCTTCAAGAGACAGCCAATATGGGCACTGGCCTGATGCCCAACTGAGAGGTACTAGCAAGAGGGAAAGGAAGCTGCCCAGTGACTGCTGCCAGCCCCAGAGGCCTCAGTGAAGGTCATTTCCCCCATACCAGCTGAGCTCCATGAATAAATAACATTAAATAAATAAAGGAGGCTAACAATTGAGGGCAGGGGGACAGTGCTAGATTCTCACCCCCTCACATACACACGTACACACACACACACACACACACACACACACACATGCACGCACACAAAGCCGCAGATGAGATGATTCGAGGCTGACTGCCCATATCCCCAGAGTCTGTGGGGCCAGGCCGCATGGTCCTTGGAGGCTGTCACTCGTGGGTCAGCATCGTAGAGGGACGCAGAGAACTGGAGGCCATTGGGACATGCGAGGTGGAAGAGGGTAGCAGCTGAGGACTCTGGCACCTGGTAGGAGAAGTGGGTGGGAAGGTAGAAAAAGAGCATAGGAAACATGTCAGTAGGTCTAGCCTATCCCTAATTCTCCTTTACTTTACTCCCTATCGATGTGTTCCCTGCCTAATATACTCAGAATCTGTACCTCCCAATAGACCACTGGGTCCTCCTAATCCCTAGATAAAATTCGTCCCCCACTGGCCTTTGGGTATACTGACCAGGACCTGGACTTTCGGACTTTAGAAGTGGAAGGTCTTTCAAGGAAGCTGTCCAGACGCATAAGCCTCTCCATGTGCAGTGCTCGGGGATCTTGTTCTTGGTCATGAGAGAATTCAACCTCAAAGACAGCTGGAGGGGACACATCCAGTTCCAGGAATAGGATGTTCTCTGCCTGTCCCAGGGAAAGTAAAACCAGATATGGGTACAGATGTGTTTGGCACCATGTGCCTTCTCTGCCCACAGCTAATACTGACTGATGATGGTGGCAACGAACAGATCTGGGACAAGGCAGTTGTGCTGCCTCAGCAAGGTCTGAAAATTATATTCCCCTGAGTCTAAAACCAGGCCCTACATTGTCAGCATGGTCAGTGCATTGATATGTTTTCCTTAGCTGTACTTTTTTGTTGTTAAGAGAGGGTTCTAGTGGGCTGGGGAGGAGTCATTGGGAAATCATTTACATATGATATAAAAATATGTTAATAAAATATGTATTGAATTTATTTTTTATTTTTTGAGACTGGGTCTTCTATCTTAGGCTGGAAATGCAGGGACCACTAAGAGGCTGGATCTTCCTCTGATTGGTATGGGAACTTTGGTTTCTGGTTTGCCCCTTCTTAGGCAATCTGGTGACCCCCTGCTTCCAGGGGCTTACCCTACTGATTCCAGACTGGACCCCTAACTGAATTAGCCCATTACATCTCAGAACTCCTGAGCCCAAAAGATCTACCAGCTTCAACCTGCCATGTAGCAGGAATTATAGGCATATGCCATCATGCCCAGATATTTATTGAATTTTTTTTTAAATGTACACCCATATGTTACTGCTCAGTTGAAGCCTGAAGCCTTCATGGTCATTTATGCAGCATATCATAAAATAAATTTCTCTGTGACATGAAGGGTAGAATTTCCTAGCATGAAAATATGTACAAGAGTCAGCATTGCATAGTTGATAGAAAGGCAGCCTCAGAGTCCGGAAGCCTTGGATTCTAATCCTAGTATGTGGTATCCTGCCACATACTAGCTACATGACTTTGGGCAAATTTTATAGTCTCTCTGTGCTCTTGTCAACTCAGTAAGACCCTAAAATGTTTCTTAAAAGTGTTTTTAAAAAATGAACATCTATGAGAACTGGGCTTGATAAATGTCCCTCTTCCTAAAATGGAAATAGCTCTGGATTTGGAATCTTAGGACCTGTGTTCAAATCCTAGTTCTGCTACCGATGTAGTCTTGGGCCAATCCTTTCTCTTCTTTGGGCTTCTGCTCCCTCATTCGTAAAATGGGCTAGATGAACTCTGAGGTCCCCCACATGCTCAAAATCCTCTTTGCTTGTACCCTGCCCCTAGACCTTGCTCTAGTGATGAGCAGGATAAAGTAGTCAGTGATGACTGAGTATCATACCTCCCTGGGAAATCTTTTCGTTCCCCTCTGTTTCCTAATCTCTTACCCTGTATCTGGGGTGGGACCCCATTGCCATGGCAACCCGGGCATACTGGCTGATGGGTCTCTTGTAGCCCACTGCTGAGGTTGGCCGCTTCTTCATCTGGCTGTTATTGCTATAAGGGAGAGATAATATCAGGATGAGTTTCCTGTGTGCGCAAAGGAATGGTGACGTCATGAGGGATTAAGTGGTCATTAATGTGCCCAGCAGACCTCCAGCCCTGCAGGCACCGTTATTTCCTCTTTCTCATTTTGAAGCTATCTGTCCATTCAAACTAACCTGAACTTGGCCCAGACAGTTTCATATGTACCATCTGTTCCCAATTTTCCTAGCTAAAGGGGAACAAGGATAGCATAGGTGACTGAAATTCAATATCATATGGGTCAAGAGATTTACAAAATTTTAGAATCTAGAGGTAAGAGAGACTTACTTCAGTGGCTAGCTCATTCAACCCCCATCCCAAAATGATACCCCTTGCAACACATGGGATAAGGAGTCTAGCCTTTGTTTGAAGACTTCCAAGGAGGGGGGCCTCCACCTCTTAAGGTAGTCCATTCCACCTAGGGACTGTTCTCAGTGTTAGCAATTTTTTCCCAACATCAAGCTTACTTTTATCTCTTTATAAATGCTCCTAGTTCTACTTTCTGGTGCCAAACAGAACAAGTCTGAAACCTCTTACTCATGACAGTTATTCAAATATTTTAAGACACTTAACATGTCTCCTGAGTTTTCTCCTCTTTAAACAGCTCCAGATCCTTCCCCCTGTTCCTCCTACCGACTTTCAACAAGATAACTAATGGGTAATAGTATTGGTAAATCTGCCTTTTTATGGTAGAGGAGAAAGGGCACAGGACTTGGATCTGGAGGGTGTGGGTTTGAAGCCCAGGGAGGGGTCTCGCTGCTGTCAATCAATCAACAAGCATTTATTAATAATCATCTACCAGGTGGGTGCCGAGCATTCTCTTAAGTATTAGGGTTACAGATACAAAAAGGAGATAGTTAGGGCAGCTAGGTGGAGCAGTGGATAGCACACCAGCCTTGGAGTCAGGAGGACTTGAGTTCAAATTTGGCCTCAGACACTTGACATTTACTAGCTGTGTGACCCTGGGCAAGTCACTTAACCTCACTGCCTAACCCCCCCCCCCAAAAAAAAAATAGCAGACAAAAAGGATAGTTACTGCCCTCCAGGAGCTGACACTCTACATTCTTAAATGGTCATAAAGTTAATATTGCTAACATTATAGACAAAGAGAGATTTGATGAATCTTTTGCCATTGAAAATGGAACTTCCAACTTCCATGCCTCTTTTGACAGGAAGCTGGCTTCAATTCAATTAAAAAAGTATTTAAAGGCTCACTATGTGTAAAGGGGGCAGCTGGGTGGTACAATGTATAGAGTGCCAGGTCTGGGTAGTCAAGAAGAGGCCTCTTTCTGAGTTCAAATCTGGCCTCAGACACTTACTAGCTGTGTCACCTTGGGCAAGTCACTTTAACCCTGTTTGCTATAGCTTCTTCATCCACAAAATGAGCTGGAGAAGAAATGGCATCCGGTATCTTTGCAAAGAAAACCCCAAATGAGGTCACAAAGGGTCAGACACAACTGAAAAATGACTAAACAACAACACCTCTGTAAAAAAAGAACAGTGGGGACACAGAAATACATATGGTCCCTTCCCTTAAGGAATTTACAGTTTTTTGGGAAGACATATGAAATCATTAAATAGCAATATTTAGTAATAATAATAATATCTAGCATTTATACAACACTTTTAGGTTTGCAAAGCACTTTACAAATATCTTATTTGACCTCCCAATGACTCTGGGAAGTAAAGCTGTTATTATCTCCATTGTATAGATAAGGAAACTGAGGCTGACAGAAGTAACTTGTCCAGGATCATGCATCTAGTAAGTGTCCAGGTCTAGATTTGAACTCAAGACTTCCTAAACTCCAGGTCTGGCCCTTCAGCCACTGTGCCACCTTGCTGCCTATGGCAAGGGCATTGGATTTAGAGTCAAACAATTCTGGTTCTGCTACCTAGTTTTTTTGTGATCTTGGCCAAATCAGGTCTCTGAGTGGCAAAACAAGGTGGTTAGACTACATACATGACTTATTACCTATGTGACTTTAGGATTGTCACTTACCTCCTTGGCTTTACTTTCTTCATCTGAAAAATGAGAGTTGGAGTAAATGGGCCTCTGTGGCCTAGCTCTGCGATAGTGACTCTAAAGTCTGGCATTGCCCTGTATCCTATGACCTTTGTTTACCTTTAAAAGATGATACCAGTTAGCAATGAAATAGTCAAAAGGTTGACATCTGGAAGAAGACCCAGAAGCAAAGGGCCTGGATTATTCACCCACTGGCTATGCAGTCCTTAAGTAACTGAATAGGCAGCCCTGGAAGGCATCAACAATGCTTCTATTTCTGCAGTGGGAAAGTAATGGAAAGTTATGCAAGTACCAACCAGCCAATCATGTGCTAGGAGCTCTGGTCTCCACCAATAGGGCGATTCCCACTGATCCCTTGGCATTGACTGAGCTAGGTCATGGAATACGGACTTGGGTAATGGATGACTTTGGCTTCTCCCTCTGAAGGATTTGGGGCAGTGACAGGAAGAGTGAATAGCGGAAGCAACTGGGGAAAGTATTTTTGCTTCTTTGGCTGGCACAGAAGGGAAAAAATGCAGTTGGTGCCATCTTGAAGTTAAAGGGCACTTCCACTTGAAGTGAAAGGAATGAAACAGGAATTAAAAGATCTCTCTAAATCCTGCTTTAATCCAACAAGCAATTATTAAACGCCTACTCCCTGGAAGCACTGTGCTAGTACTCAAGCATGTGGGGGCTCTTCCTTTGATTTCATCAGTGTAGGAAGTGTCTGGTGTTGGAGTGCTCTCTACCAGTGCATATGACAGCCCATTGATAACTTTGATTTGAGTCCTAGAGAGGAACTGGAAATTCAGAGAGGTTAAATGACTTGCTTTTAGCCAAACAGGTTAGGGAGTATTTGGGAGAGAATTTGAATTCAGATCTTTCTGACTTCAAGCCCAAATTTCTACTTACCATTCTACTTTACTAGAGAAATGTTGTTGTTTGTCCTTCATTCTTGAAGAAGACCATGATCAGGGAGGTGATGCCATGACATGCAAGTGAATTGGATTTAAGTGAGGTAAGGCTGCGCAAAGTCATCAGCCTCACTTTCTCCTCTGGAGCCATCTCGATCCAGTGGCCAGATATAGATTGGGACAACTGGAGATGGCTCGGGATGCAGTGGAGGACCTCGACCTTTTTAAACTAAGGTCTCTAACAGGTCCCAGTTTGACTGAGGCAACGCCCATTTAGTGATTAAGGCTTAATGAGAAATGAAGCAGAGAAAGGCCTCTTTACCTAGTCAAAAAAAAAAAGAAAATCCATCTAGGAGGGGAAGACCCTCAGGGTTTCTAGCCAAAACAGAAACAATTGCTATGTGCATTCATTCTGAGGAAAATTGGATGGAAAGACAAAGAATAACAAACAATCCCTTAAGGGGTGGAGAGAGCATGCATCTGTTTCCTTTGCAGGAGGGGAGTAAATTTTCAATGCTGCCTTAGAAAGGGGGAATATTGGAGGAGAGAAAGGGATTGAAAGACAAAGGCAGAAGAAGGGAAAGTAACAGGAAGAAGCAGAAGAAAAAAGGGCAGAAAAATGGGGAAGAAAAAGGGAAAAAACCAGAAAGAAGGAGTCAGGTGAAAACATAAAACAGTCTCAATTCTGGTGCTACCTCTTTTGTGCACTCCACCCCACTCCCATTTGAAAGCTTTCTCCTGCCTCAAATTTTCTTAGAGCACTTTGTCTGGATCTCTTCCTTTGCCCCCAGCACTTCCTACCTGGTATCATATTTATGAGAGAGAGAGAGAGCTCTCAGACTTTGACTGATTATATCTACATATGAAGGCTTCAGAATGTAACTGGCAGGAGAGACAAAAGACCTGCTCACTGGGTTCAATCTTTCTCTAACCTACATGCAAGAGGGAAAAGGATTTGGAGCTAAAAACAATAACCAAAACAAAAAAACCCCAAAAAACCACCAATTAAGGGACTTGGTGTGTGAGGGGGAAATGTCCTGCTGAGGACACAGAGGTCTTCTAGCCAAGAATCTGAAAGAGAGCAGATAAACAACTCCTAAGGGAAAAATGCCGAGAAAGGCTTTTTTCTAGGGTAGTTGCTGGCTGTATGGCTGAAGTGAAGGCAGCAGCTTTTCTGAAATGACTATATAAAATGCTTCTAGCTTGTAACTAAAAGCATGGCAGAACTCACTTGTCTCATGAAGAAGAGATAGCATTATAGTTAAGGATTTTCAGCTGAAGCCAGAAAACAGAAGCCAGAAGCAGAGAGAAGCCCTGATATCACATGACTAGTAGGCAGGAGCCAGCACCTCCAGCAGAGACTGACCATCAGGGAACAAGTCCAGCAGGAGTAGCATGAGGATATTACTAGAAGACATCAAAGGCCCCAAGACTGGGAGGCATGGTTTGTTCCTCCATACATGTGTGCCCTGGCCACTTGTGTTCCCTCTATGTCCATCTCTCTAAGTGTACATCCTGGCCAAACATATGCCCTCTGTGTGTGTGTGTGTGTGTGTGTGTGTGTGTGTGTGTGTGTCTGTGTGTCCACCCACATTTCTAGCCAAGTACTTCCTATGTGTATACCTCTCTACTTGCGTGTTCTGTATGTCCGTCCTTCCTACTGCTGGTTTGTGTATTTATGGAAGAAGATACCTGAGCTTTATGAGGAAAACATTTTATTTATATTCTTCTACTATACCCTTTCATTAAATGCCTTTGCTTTGAACTAATTGTGCTCTCTGGTTGATGATTAAAGATAAACACATCAATGGGGGCTAATGAGCCATGGTTTTAGTGGATACATAGATCCACAGAGTACATTGAATCTGAGGTGGCCTTCTTTGGGGGACCCATCCTATGAGTAGGGCGGATACCTCAGGCACTACATTTATCTTTGTACATTTCACACTTCTCACTAGAATGGAAACTCCTCAAGGGAAGGGTCTATGCCATTTTTAAACTTTGTACACTCTGTAAATTGTATAATGCCTTATATATGAGGTGCTTGATAAATATTT